TACTAGAGGTCATCGTAGTGACATCCTCTAAAATTGTACACAGTGATTAGTCAAACTGAGCTGTTTTTTTTTTTTTTTTATCAGCAAAGTATATATATATATATATATATATATATTGGAGCACTTAGGGTGCTCCAATCCTTATACAAAAGATATTTACATTGTTTGCTGCTTTAGGTCTCCATAAACATGATTAAAACTTCTACATTTGATATCAAAATATCCCTATCCTATACCCATCTAGTCTCTATTCTTGATACATACATGAAGACAGAGGATGGGAATACAAAATATTAAAAAAACTGAGCTGGTATTACTGAAAATTAAAAAAATTAGAATTTTTTTATAAACCGCTAGTTAATGAATTGTGGTTTGTCAACTCTTTATTATACTATTGCGAGAACATGTGTAAAGTTTCATCCATCTATTATGCAGACACTTAAAGTTTCTGTATATTATAATTCTTTCTGTGATGGCATTGGCAGGCCATGCTTTTGAAGCTCGAATCTATGCTGAAAATGTTCAAAAAGGGTTTCTTCCAGCAACTGGAGTTCTACACCATTATCATGTTCCAGTCTCATCTGAAGGTCAGATATGCAAAATTAAATTGCAAATTTATTTATTATGGATCTAGAAATTTTCCTCACTGCTTTGTTTGAAGAGCATGAAACTCCAATATAGATTTGTGGATCTTTCTGTTTTTGCTTACTGAAAATCTGCTGTTTTGGCAGTTCGGGTGGAGACTGGGGTTAAACAAGGAGACACTGTTAGCATGCACTATGATCCTATGATTGCTAAGCTTGTGGTGTGGGGAGACAATCGTGCTTCTGCATTGGTCAAACTGAAGGATAGTTTGTCAAAGTTCCAGGTAGACTAGGTTTTTGTATTGCCTGTGCCATAGTGAAATATTGGTGAGATTTTGCAGTAAATTGACTTTTCTATGATGAGATGTGTTATATTAGTTACCCTTTGTTAGATTATATATTTATAACCTTTGGGGCAAGGGTGGACATGGTCCTGATGGGGGTGATAAAGTGTTCAGAAATGTAAGAAACTAAGGGTGTTTGTGTTGGGTTTTGGAGAAAAAGGGAAGGAAGGGCAAACTTTTAGTAGTTATTTTATATTTATAAAAATAAACAAAAGCCCCTTCAAAAGTCAACTCCTAAACACTAGACATTTCATCCCCCCTCCCATATACAATAGAAATTCAAGTAGTTTTAAATAAAAAAAACACTTTCTAGCTGTGTCATGTCTTTTTAAAATTTGCTCATGTTTAAATTGGTAATATCTTCCTGCACAGGTTGCAGGTTTACCAACCAATGTCAGCTTCATTCTAAAGCTAGCTAATCACGGGGCATTTGCAAATGGCAATGTGGAGACTCATTTTATTGATAACTACAAAGAAGATCTCTTTGGGGATGGTAACAATTCAGTGACTGACCAAGAAGCATACGAAGCTGCTAGACATAATGCATCTCTAGTGGCCGCATGTCTCATTGAGAAAGAGCATTTCGTATCATCAAGAAACCCCCCTGGTAAACTGTTTCATTCTTGTTTTGTAAAGTACGGAGTTGTTTTTGTTTATTTCCTTGGTATTTACATCTGTATTTCCAGGGGGCGGCAGCTTACTCCCTATATGGTATTCTTCTCCGCCTTTTAGAGTTCATCATCAGGCTAAGCGTAAAATGGAACTTGAATGGGAAAATGAATATGATAGCGGTAGCTCAAAGACCATGAAGCTTACTATCACCTGTCAGCCTGCTGGGAGATACCTGATTGAAGTACTAATTTTTTTTCCTGTTTAATTGTGTCACATATTCTCTAAAAAGTGGATTCAAGATGATATTGTTTGTTTCTTCCAGACAGAAGAAAATGGATCTCCTGTTTTAGACGTCAAAGCATCATATGTAAAAGATCGCCATTTTAGAGTTGAAGCTGGTGGTGTAATCAATGATGTTAACGTAGCTGTTTATTCAAAGGTAAGTGTTTTCCACCGCATAGTTGATTTTTGAGTTTATATGGATTGATTTGGTAAAATCATTTGGCTTCTGTATCCATCTTGATTGTCAAATACATTTCTTCAGCTTATAATACAAATTTGATTTTCCCTGGAATTCAGGATCAAACAAGGCATATTCATATTTGGCAAGGATCCTATCATCATTATTTCAGAGAGAAGTTAGGCCTGGATCTATCTGAGGATGGAGAATTACAACATAAACCCAAAGTTGAAACATCAGCCAATCCTCGAGGGACAGTTGTAGCACCCATGGCAGGCTTGGTAGTTAAAGTTCTAGTGGAGAACAAGACAAGAGTAGAGGAAGGTCAACCTGTGATAGTATTAGAAGCAATGAAGATGGAGGTTTGTACAATTGCTCTCTGACGTTGGAAACTTCTCTTTATCTGCTTTATTTATTTATTTATTCAGAAAGTTATATATAACCAACAATGTTCTGCGCTTCTAGCATGTTGTAAAGGCACCATCTTCTGGCTATGTGCATGAACTTCAAGTTACGGTTGGTGAACAGGTTTCAGATGGCAGTGTTCTTTTCAGTGTAAAGGTTAGTTAATTACTTTTGTTATTCTTTTCATTAGCCATGGCCTGGTTATTCTAGCAATGCCTTTTTGCTTTCATGTTTCAGTGTATAATTGTATCACATTATTTCAATATTATTCTCTTTATTATGATGTTGATGTTTATTTCTTGTTTTTTTTTGGCAATGACCAATGATACTTAAAGACAGTCTGCTTGTTTAAATAGGTAAAAATAGCAATGCAGATGGAAATGTAAATTTATGTGGACTGTGTGTTCAAATAAATTATTTTTTATCCCTCCTTTTCATTTTCCGCATGAATAAATTATTCTTTTGCAACATTTATATGTTTAATTCGCATTTCTCATTATATTCTATTCTTCAACATTACTGAATCTGGTAATAAAGTATGTTTGTGTTTCGTGTTAGTGTCCACGCTTCTTAGATCATCAGTAATACTGATTGTGGTGCTTGGACAGGATCAATAAAATCTCACACGGATTACAGCTTTACCGTTATGTCAAGATTCTGGCAACAAGGCCTCTATCTGAATGGATACTTGCACGCAGGAGTACAACCGAACGCCTTGAATTTGATTACTTAGAAGTCCTTGTAACTCAATTTTTCAAGTTACAAAGGATGACATGTACTTTACAATAATGCAAATAGTTTCTCCAGTAACTATATAATAAGACTACAGATTGCTTCATGTTTAGATATTCTTCCATCAGAGTCTTTTTCCCTTCTATGATGGCTCCCCTTCTGATGGGAGACATGCACATAAGCCCAAAATAATGCGATAGTTGGAAACCACCAACTAAAAATCTAATATTGAGTTCAGTCTTTGGGAAAAACAAGGGCACTGATACCAAAGTGAAGAGCCAAAATTTTAAACTTTCAGGTCTTTAGTCTCATAATAGAATCACGCATTGATTTTTAACAATAGGTTTTGCCTCCATAATTTCCTAAACTAGCGGTTGTTATTTGAAAACATTTTGTTAGAGTTTCAAAGGAAACTTCAAATCTGGAAAAAAAATAAAAATATATAGAACAAGTTGCCATTATAAATCTAAGTGGTGTAATAAGCATACATTCGTCATATGGCTTTTGTGTTGTAGAGTATGTTCTGGGTCAAACAATGCGGAAAAGAGCACAAAAGTACTTGGTTTTTTCAGCAACATATTCTGGATTCTCCTGTGGGTGACTTGTTTTCTTCCGAAGACGAGAGGTCCATTGTTTGGGAGTTTAGGCATAATAGAGATTGGAGATGCATGAGCTCTTTTCTTAGATTGCAAAGAAAGTAGCCCCCGAAAATCCAATTTTAACCTGAAGACCGAGTCAAGTGGTTTATGTCGGATCAGGATAAATTTTGTTGTGCTGAAAAAAAAGGATAAACTTTGTTTTATATTTTTTCTTCAACTTATCACATTGTTAACAAATTTTAACAAATACTTTTAGAAAACAATTAAATAAATGTTAGTTAAAATTAGTTCACACTTAAGTAAAAAGTACGAGAAACTTTTACAAAAACAATTTATGTATACGCTCATTGTAGTTTATGTGAACACTTTTATTCTTCATGTCTTCTAAAAATATTATGGAGAAACTTGTGAGGGCACTTCCATAATTTCTTTCTGCTTCCGTATAATTTCTTTTTTCTCATATTGTCTTTTCTGGATTGTATAATCTAAAAGTTTTTTTATTTTTAGATTATACAATTTGAAAACCAAATTAATTTCCGGATCATATATTTCAAAACCTAAATAATTTTTAAATTGTATAATTTGAAAAGTTTTAGAATTGCATAATTTGAAAATTAAAAAATGATTTTCAATATGTACAATTTATATAGTTTCTTGATTGCATCTTAAAGTAAAAAAAATATAATCCAAGAACAAAATGAAAAACATTAAAATCATTAGGAAAGTTATGGAAGTGCAGGAAGGAAACTTGTCAAACCTGTGACCTTTATTGAGTAATTTTTTATATCCACAGTTTAGTTGTTTTTATTATATAGACAATAATTTAATAAGCTCATCTTTCTTGATTTTTAATTTACAAACTCAATTCACACTACTCAAATTACAAGCAAGTAATTTTAGGCAAGTCATTCGTAGATTATAAATATATACACTTGAGGAATGAGAATGAGAGGAGCGATTAATGTTTATTTAAAATTAAAAGAAAATTAATTGAAGAATCAAATGTAATTTTTTTAAAATGATAACATTTACTTCATTAGTATAGTCTTCAAGAAATTGGAATTAGTCTTAAAATTATGTCCTAAGTCTTTCAAAAAATGTTGCTTTCATGGCAACTTTCAAGTTGGAGAACCTCCTAAACAATTCCTACTAGAGATGCTATTAGTTCACAATATTTAAAATTGAAAAAATAAATCTTTGTCCAAAAATCAGCTCAACGAAATAAGTTAACATGAGAAACAATTCCTCCAATACGAGTTTTTTTAATTTTTTTTTTTCACATCATAATAATTTGTGTCAAGTTTTAAAGCAGTGACTACAAGTTGAAACTCAGTCCTTTAGAGTAGAAGAAAATGAGAGTGTGTTTGTACAAGAATATGAAGGGTGTGGAAAATCAAGCATCAAAACCAGAATAGATACCATTCTCTCTCAACAGCCTCTTCTCTTCTTCAACATAATTTTTGCCTCTGCTAGCTTGACCCAGCTCTCTCTTCCTCTTTTCCTTCTGAGAGAAAGAAAGATTCTTCTTGTCATTCCTAGTCAGGACAGCTGGCAGCTGCTCTCCTTGGGAAATAGCCTCCCTTGTTTTTTGTCGCTCTTCATATGATTCTTCAATTTCCTTCTCTGCACGCTTTTCTTTTCCACTGGACCACGACCAATCTTGCTTCGACTCATCCCCTTCTCTGGGTGCCGGTACTTTTAGGACCGAAGGTCCACCTCTATACCCATGTCTCCTCAGAGCCTCAAAGTCAATTACACCGCTTTTCTGCTTCCTAGATTTCCCTGTACACAAATATAATTAATAAAGATATCAAACAGCCACAAAATTAGGGAGACAACCTTTAAGGTTATACGGTACTCTCCAGTATTTTCATGAAATAAACCCATTTCACCAACTATGATCAAGTCAATTACAGTTCTCATTTCTGATATTGGTTTTAATGATTCTGATATTCTCATTTTTGTTTCCCGGAAAATTACAGTTCAATATGCCAAACAAATTCTTGCAAGAATTTATGTGAAGCCAAAATAGTACAATACTTCACATGGTTAATTGTGTCCTTAAATTACTCGATCCTTTTTATGCATGTACGATGTAGAGAAATCAGAATCAACTCCTATAATTGAGGCTAGCAATAGATAGGTAAGAGTAATGTTAGCAGACACCCATACATACACCTACCTAGAGAGATATGGAAATAAAAGAGAAAAGTGATAGATGCAATACAATACATGATTTGAAAAAAGGAGATATAGAAAAATCGATGGATCAAATGGTTGTTTGAAATAATGGAGGGTCCATGTATTATTACCCAGATGGGTAATTCCTCCTAGCCAAAGACTTTATCCATCAGCAACTGTAAAGTGACAGATCAGAAACTATATTGCACTAACAACTTGGGGGTGAGTTTAAACCCTCAACAACTGAATCTACGTCAGCAATCACTATCTATATCAGTTAAAAACAGACAATTGCTTCTATAGTAGCACGTGATCAAATTGTGTCAACTCTCAACCATAAGATCAACCCTCAGTTATCTTTTTGCTTTAGCCAATACTTATAAGCTATTAGATATCAAGGAAGGATTTATTAGAAAAAGATATTCATCAGTGTGATTTTACAAGGGACTTTTATCCACCATTGGGTGAAGCCCAATATACCCTTCTCCAAAAGTTCAGAAAATTCCACAGCAACACCATAGGGTTAAACCAATGACAGAGTTTCATATTGCTAGGATGAGCGACAGCATCAATCCACATTCTAGGCACCAAGAAGATAACTGTAAAAGTAGGAAAGATAACCCAATCGCTATTTATGTTGTGAGTTTCATCAAATATACCCACAGCACAAAACACAAAACATGGGAGTGCGACATAACCCCAACAAAATCCAATGCTAAATTGGATCAAATTTGTGAAGATACTTTGTGCACCTGTCACTCCCCCATGAATTATTGTCATAAACAAGTAAAGTGTATAACTTTCACATTGAATCAAAGTTTGAGCAATCAGCAGAGTGATAAAAACTACCAGACAAAAAAAGGAGGATGTACATTAAATAATACCTTTGGAGTTTTCCGCTCCAGCTTCACTATCATGTTCAGAGTCTGAATGTGAAGATGATGACTCGTCATCGTCACTCCATGGCATAGTCCTCTTCATAGTACGGATAACGCCACGGCACAATCACCACGAATACAAACAAGGGTTCAACCCCCGATGATGCTTCTCTGCAAATAAAAAGTGAAAGATGCAATGCTCAAATACCGCTCGACAGAAACAACAACACGTTCAATCTAAGAATAAAAATTTGAAATTTAAAATGATAACGAAAAAGTGATGAATTATTAGGAGCTGAGCTTAGGTTGCCCTCAAAGACGCAGACCGATGAAATTTTTTCAGAAACTGTACAAAAACAGAGAAAATAAACATGCGCGTGCGTGCCGTAAGTAAGAATTGGGGAATTAAACGGTGATGAATTTTGGGGAAAAAATAGGAAAGAACAAAGAAAACATAAAGCTGAAAAAACGGAGTACTGAGGAAAGGGAAGTGAGAGAGTACCGCCACTGGTTTGGTGGTTGTTGGTGGCTGCTTTCGGAATCGGAATTTCGATTCTGACTACGCTCTCTGCTATAAGCTCCCTTTTTAGGGATTTCTCAGCTGCGAATTTAGAATTCTGCAGTTTCCACTGCAGAAAAAAAAATTAAGTAAAACAAAAAATGACAGAGTATTTTATTAAATCATTTAGTGCCTAAAATTGCAACAATTAGTCAAATTGATAAAAAAAAAAAAAAACTTAAAATTTTGTTCCTAAAATTCTTTTCACGTATTTTGACCCTTAATTCACATAACTTTATCAATTTTATCCTAATATTACTTAGTCAGTAGTAGTATTAATGATTAATATGATAGAAACTACATTTATAATAACTCAACTTCAACTCTTCTTGACATTGATACGTTTCAAATAGTTTAGTCATCTGTTTAATTATCTAGTTTAAATGTTTGTGCATTTTGCATATAAGCAGAATTAAATCTACGAAAATTATGATTGTGGAGGTTCTACTTTCGAGATAGCATATTTAAATTTATTTATATAAAATATTAAAAGTTAAAGATGATATTAAATACTTTATACTTTATACTTTATATTAATGTGTTTCTTTTTTTTATGATAAAAATTAATGAACTTATAATTATAAAAATAAATATAAGTAATTTTAATAATTTAGTTGTAGATAGTTTTTATTTATTTGTTTTTAAAAAATCATTTATACTTATACATGAAGAAGGCTAATTTATAAATTTTAAACCCTATATCTTAAACTAAATGAATACACATATATAATTTATAATGTTATATAATTAAAAAAATAGTTAATGAATAAATTTACTATTTTAATTATATATATATATATATATATATATATATATATATATATATATATTATAAAATTTATCTCTCTACTTTTTCTTTGTTTTTCTAATTTTCTCTTTAAATTTAAAAATCATTTATCATCCTTGTCTAGAACATTTTATACCAATCAAACAATAATTAAAAGAAGGTCAAGTCTAATTAACATTTTTTTCTTAAACGAAGATCAATTCTAATTAATAAAATTTTCTTTTAGAACAAGTTCCTTTAAACTCTTTATCTTTCTATCGTGTATTTTTTATTGTGTATATATTAATTTGTCACAAGTTTAATAAGATGAGAAAGATAATATCTTAGTTCAACTTATGATTTCTGTTTTGGTAATGTGGATGATTTTTTTTTCCTTGGTTACAGTCTTTAGGTGTGTTCTAACTTCTTCCATCAAGGACTTTTTTATCTTGGTTCTTCATAAATTTTTTTTTGATAAAAATAGTTGAATTGTGTATGTGTGAAGTATTTTAGGTTCTACATAATTTATTCAAGAAGTTTAGCAAATATTATTGAGTGAGTAAATGATAAGTTATAAACTTTTTTACTAAACAAATGATCATTTCCCAATAAATTATGTAAAATTTGTCTCACAAATTAGATTTCGTTCAACAAATCTCAACCTAGAGAGTAATAAAAAAATTAAATAACTAACTTACTCACTGATCTACACCTTTGCAATATTTTTTTAAATAGAAGTGGTATGTTCCAAAGCTAGTTTTTTTTTCTTTCGGTTAACAAAAATATGCCTAAGAAAATTTGCAAGATACAGGTCTTTTTACTAGTAAATTAATCACTACTCTATTATATTATAATCATACTTTGATCATTGATATTGGTAAAGTTTTTTACCTACGTCTATTCCACATTAAAGATATTGGTGATAGTTGATATTGTCTATGGAAATTTGCAAGATACAAGTTTGTTTAGCAAATTAATCACTACTCTATTGTATTAATCATACTTTGATTGTTGCTATTGGTAAAGTTTTTACCTACGCTTATTCCACATTGAAGATATTGGTGATAATTGATATTAGGCGTCACCTTGGTTTTTTTTCTAGGCTATCTCGAAAAATTTTGATTTTCACTTTGTTAACCATTAAATTAAGTTGAAATTTTGACAAATATTTCTTAAAATATGGTTCTTCACTTTGATCATTAGAATTTTCAATTATAAATTTATGATTAGAAAAATGCATCTTATTGTTTTGATAGTTGATTGAAATATTGTAGTTGAATATTATGTTAACGTGATGGAAAAATAAATTATGGATGAATTAATATGTAATATGTGATGTTTGTATAGATGAGATATTATAAAGATTTCCAAGGAGGAAATACTACATTCATTTAGGGTGCAATGTTGATTATAGAAAGGGGTTATTTTGACTCTATTAGAACTCATATAAAGGAATGTTGTTTAGTTGTAACAGTTGAAGGAGATTCTATATTTAAAATTTAATGTTTGACTAAACTTGCAAATATATAATTTACCCTATCATGCTTTGTGGAAGAAGGGAGTTGCCCTACCTTGATATTTATATATTACTATAGCTCATTTGTGACGGGAGTGGAAGTGACATGTGCATGATCTCTAAGTCTATTAAATATACGTGTCTTCCAAAAATAGAGTCAAATGTCAATGTTATGGGCATGATGTGTGAACATTGATGATTTGTATGATAGTTGACGATGGAGTTTAAGAATAAGAATATGATTATACTTTGTTTTACTTTGAGTAATATGAATTGTTATAATTACACTAGTTTCTGTTTTTGTTATCGACTTATTATTTAATCACCTATTATGATCATATGATATACATGAACAGATGATCATGAAGAGATTATGGACAACAATGAGATTGTTAGAGATATGATAATGTAATGGTGTATATATGTATATATAGTTGTTTTTTAGATATTTTTTTTCTTTTTTATGCTATATTTTGAAGAAACAATTGTAAATATTTGATTTTTGAATTAATGGAGAGGTTTTAAAGAATATATATATATATATATATATATATATATATATATATATATATATATATATTTCATTTGATTTTAATTTATATCGTCAAATCTAATAGTTATAGGGTGTTACAATACTTCTAATTAGTAAAATTATTTTAATTTCTTTAAAATACATAAATAATCCATAAAGAATTAATTAAAAAATGCAATAATTAATAAAAAATAATGTAAGTTATAAAGTATTATAAATATTAGAAAGATAATTTTAAATTTATTTGATATTAAAACTTAAATTAATTAATTTCACTTATTTATTTATAAAATATAATTAAGAATAAAAATTAATTATATTACAAAAAGATTAATTGATTAATATAATTATATAATTGATTATGTTTTCTATTTACATACATTATTGATTATAAGATTATTTTTAACTGATTATATGATTTTTTATAATGTTTTTTTTTGTTTTGGATTAAGGTGATAGTAAGGCCAAGCGGAACGAGTATGGTTTTTTGTATCTCATTTTCATTTTTAAAGTGAAAACTTATCCTTGTTTTCATTTTCGTGTGGATATAAATTTTTTGTATTTCATTCCTATCTTCATCAAGGAATGTTATACTGGTATTCACACTTATATTTGTCTTTTTATTCTTAAAAAAATGTAAAGTGTTTAGCAAACCATGGCTTGATTGGTCTTAACTTCTAATTGCATGGATTACTTCAATCATTGATAAGCCGAGATTAATCTATCCCCATAAGAGGTGGCCTCTTAACCCATCGCACATTATATCATGTTCATGTTTCGTTCTTGTGTACTAAGCCGACCACTTAGGCTGATGATCAGGATGACCACCCAGGCCGATCAACCAAGCTGACTGTCAAGCCGACCACCCAGGCCAACCACCCAGACCTACAACTAGGCAGATCACCAGGCCGACCACCCAGGCCGATCACTAGGTCGCCAACCTAGGTTGTCCACCTAGGCCAACAACATGATCAGATTATCAACAGTAATAACTCATTAAACCCCTAATACATATTAAGGTTTGATTGGATTATGATTAGGCTAGTGAAAGGTAAAAGCCCATTACAACTATTATATAAAGGTTTCAAGTATGACTTTAAATCATCATGCATACAATATGCATCTTTAGCCAGATCACCTACTGACTTAAGCATAAGTGTCTTTTGTAGGTATCCTCTGAAATGTTTTGGATGAGCAAAACAAAATCTAGTCGAGCTTCCCAACAGCTCGACCAGTCTCATTAATAGCCTATTTGATCTGTTACAATGATCGACCAGTCTCCTGCATGTTCTACTCAGTCTGCTACAATGCTCGATCGATCTCCTACATGTCCTGCCCGATCTGCTACAGTGGTCCTCAACCATCTTCAACCTTGAATTCGGCCTAAGACCCCTACACCCCAAAACATTTTGTTATAAAGTCATACCTGAGACCTTTATATAATAGTTGTAATGGGCTTCTACCTTTCGCTGACCTTATTACAACTCAATCGCACCTTAATCTGCATTAGAGGTTTAATGAGTTATTACCATTCATAATCTTATCATGCTCTCGACTTGGTGGTCGGCCTAGGTGGTTGACATGGGTGGTCGCCCAGGTGGTCGGCCTTGTGGTTGACCTGGGTGGTCGGCTTGGTTGATCGGCCTGGGTGGTCGACCTGGTCGTCGGCCTAGGTTGTCGTACGATACACAAGCCCCAAAGTTCGAGCATGATATAATGTGCAAAGGGGTTAAGAGGCCACTTTTGGTAGGGATGGATTTTCAGTTGCCACTTTATATTTGTGCACTATTGTATGTTGATTAACCTCGACTTGTCGAAGATTGAAAAATTCCATGCAATTGAGGCCAAGAATTTGTTCATAAGTTAAGTCTAATATGGTCAAGAATGACCGAGTACCTGTGAGACCATGCTTGGCCGACCATTTGATGAGGTTAAGATTGGTCGAGCACTTGATAAGGTCAAGGTTGGCCGAACACTTTGTGAGGCCAAGGATGAGTGAGTAATTGAGACCTGAAAAGGCTGAGCAGTTGAGAGTACGATAGGAATTCACGAAGAACGTTCCATGTTGACTGTCGGAGGTGCAACAGGAGTTCACGAAGAACGTTCATTGTTGCCTTTTGAAGGTGTGATGGGTAGTCATCCTCCCCTATGTCGCTCATTCGAACACTTGAGGCCAAACACTTGAGATCAAATATGGTCGAGTACTTGTGAAGCCATGGGTGACCAAACAATTGAGGTCAATGTAAGACCTAACACTTGGGATCGCACACTTGAGATCAAGTGTTACC